TGTGGTAAATAATAAGATTTATCATCATCACAATTTTTAAGTGTACAGTTCAGCAGTGTTAAGAACATTCACATTGTTGTGCAACCGATCTACGGAACTCTTTTTCTTGAGAAACTGAAACTCTGACCCCAGGAAACAACTCCCCATTCCCCTTCCATCCAGGCCCTGAAAACCACCATTCTGCTTTCAGTCTCTATGAATCTGACTGCTCTGGCTGGCTCACACGAGTGGAATCAGACAACATTTGTCTTCTTGAGACTGGTTTATTTCACTTGGCAAAACGTCTTCACTGTTTATCCATGTTTTAGCACGTGTCAGGATTTCCTTCCTTTTAAAGGCTGAGTAATATTCCAGGGTATGGATGGACCACATTTTATTCACTCACTGACAGACATTTGGGTTGTTTACATCTTTTGGCTTTTGTAAATAATGAACATTGTAAATACACAAATTTCTCTTTGAAACCCTGCTTTTAATTCTTTTGGGTATGTACCCAGAAGTGAAATTGCTAAGTCATATGTTAATTCTATTTTTAATTTTTTGAGGAACCACCTTGCTCAATGTCTTTATTTATTTATTTATTTATTTATTTATTTATTTATTTATTTATTTATTTATATTAAGGTAACATTGATATACAATCTTAGGAAGGTTTCACAAGAAAAACAATGTGGTTACTACATTCACCCTTATTATTGAATTCCCCCCTATACCTCATTGCAGTCACTGTCCATCAGTGTAGTAAGATGCCACAGAGTCCCTACTTGTCTTCTCTGTGCTGCACTGTCTTCTCTGTGACCCCACAGATTCTCTCCTCCTCAAATTATCTCTGTTTTGTTAGGGTCAGTTTTACTATTTATTTTGATTTTGTCTTCCATGCAGCAGATTTTAAATGCCAAGGAATTCTCGGTTGTCTTCATGTTTGGAAATGAAGCATCAGACTGGCTGAGATTGTTGCATCTGGGCAGAGTTTGCAGCAGGTTAAACTTGTGGTTGAGTGGTCAGGGGGTTTGCTGGTAACCAGAGGAAACCCTAAAGCCAGAGCGATCTGGACGTTATTCTGGGAGTACCAACACCTATGTGACTGCCTTCAGTGTCCCTGAATGAGACCTAATTTAAACATTAGAATTTATAGAGCATTTACTATGTGCCGGATACTATGCTAAATGCGTTATACATGTTCTCCTTTAGTCTGACCAATAATTCTATCAGATAATTATCATTTTACCCATTTTACAGAAGTGGAAACTGACGCTTAGAGTGTTTTAAAAAGCTTACATAGCTAGTTGGATTGCAGGTATATGTGACTTTAGATTTTGCACTCTTAAGCAATATACTATTTTGATTCTGAAATTTTGAGTTGAACCTCATGTGGGATTAAGTGGCAGTTTCATTCTGGGGCACCAAGCAAGTTGTTTATAAACTGTAGTAACAAATGTGAAATAAGAGAACTGCTGAGTTCCATGGATTTTAAGAAAATATCCAGAATAAACACTGTGTGAGGACTTAATGCTGGAAAAGGGGAGAAATGGGGAGATGGGATGGCCTTTCTAGCATTAAAGCTCCAGGACCATGTCTCATCTAGTGAAGGGCTTGGCATCACTCCCACGGCCAAGCTCTGGCTCTTGGCGTGAGTGAGAAGTGCCCTGAGGGGAAGGAGCAGCCTGTACACGCAGCCACCTGTCCTCCCCCGCCCTGCAGAGCGTGATAGGGATGGAGGTTCTGAGTGGCATTGCCCCAGGATGAACAATGGTGCTGCCTCTTTTCTTGGAGTTTGGAGAAGATGGTGCATGCATTCATGTATGCATTCATTTATTCATTAATTCTTAGGCACTGTGGTAAGTGCTAGGATAAACAGATAAAAGGGCTGCCATTTCAACCTCTGAAGAGCTGACAATCTACTAGGTGTGATAAATACCATATCATATGAGAAGGGCCATGAAGGGGTGTGTGGAAGACAGTGTTTGCAGTGATTCAAAAGTACTGCGGCCAGTAGACACAGGTCTGAACCTTACTCTGCTGTTGTTTATCTGTGTGGCTTGGTCTATTTTGCTTTGCTAACTTCCACTTTCTTCCTTTGTAGGGTTGTTGCAAGATTAAATGAAATAGGCCCAGGAAATGCTCATCCCAGAGGCTGGTACAGGCTGACGCTCAATGTGGGGACTTATTACTGTGAATAATACAGACTGAGTTGTGCTGCAAGCCTGAAGAGGGTGGGAGCCGGGGAGAGTGTCACCCAAGAAGGGCCTCTGAGCATCAGGTTTTCCTTCCCAAGAAAGGCCCCCAACTGGTGTCTTCCTCTGTCCTGGCACCCCAAAGAGTCACATTTTTGACACTGACAAACAGCCTCCAACAAGGGAGATTCTCTATGAGGCCACCTGGGCAATTCTCTGTGACAACAGACTTCTGCTGCCTTCCTTCCAGCTCCTTTAGCAGGTGCTTTCTGGGAGATACGAGGGTGGATAGTGAGTGGATGGACCTTTATTACGACCACCACGTGCCAGACTCCTCTGCACGTATTGGCTAATTTAAACTTATCCAATAACCCTCTGGAGGAGGTTACTCTTCTTTCCATTTTATAGATGGAGCAAGGTTCAGGGACATTAAATCACTCACCTGCCACCATGCAGGTGGCAGACACAGCTGAGATGCAGTCCCCAGCCGTGTGGCCCAAGTTGATATGCTTGCCACATCCTGCAGCTGCCTCCTTCACACAGAATCATCAAACAACAGTCGTGGCTCAAGAAGGGTCTGGGGCTGTGCATTCAGTGCTTTGAGCTCCACAGCTGGAAAACTCCCTGGCATACAGGATGTTGCCAGCTCTAAGTTGCAACCTTGCCTGCCACCTGGTCAGGGGCAGGAGGGGGAGAAGCAGAGGGGATCTGCCTCTCCAGCAGTACGGAGGTGCCTGGTATTGTCAATCTGCTCTGACACCTCCATTTCTGGTACATACACGGGAACGCCCCGAGGCAGAGAACCGTGTTCCGGAGCCTCTCTTACCTGGAACCTGGTTAAGTATCACAACCACCATGGGCTGGGACCCCACTGGCTTGTGCCCTTCTCCTGGGCATCAGGCCTGAGCTCTGCTGTCTCACACGCAGGCCGGCAGCTGCAGAGCTGACAAACTGAGCATCTGGGCAGCTCCTCTACTGAGCTGGAAGCTTTTTGCAACTCGTTGTCTCCTCCTTGTGGGCATTTGTGCCCAGCAGGGTCTCCGAAGCTGGCAACTGTGCTGGGCGAACTGCAATGCTCAGCAGCCTCAGGGAGGTGGGTTTCTTTTGCCCAATATTCAGGGAGTCCAGACAAAATGGTAACAGTCAGTGGCCTTCACTCTCACTCTTCTTAGCCGCCCCGTCTGTGCTCTCTCTCCTCTCCCAGGCGGCTGAGTTCTCTTTCCACATAAGAAACATACTTTTGGGGAGAGATCAGATTTTAAGTGCACATATCACCTTTTGGGAAGGGATTTATTCTTTAGGCTTCCTCCTTGACTTAAAAAAAAACTCATTAAAAAATGACTTTTCTCCATAGTCAGCAGCAGGTGTGTGTGTGTGTGTGTGTGCGTGTGTGTGTGTGTGTGTGTTGTGTGTGTGTAGCTCTGTGTGGGAAGCAACATATTTTTGAGGGTCTGTCTTTGCTGAAATCACACCTGACTTGGCCATGAGCCTATCCCGGCAGGCCCTCTTACACAGCCTGCCACCTGCTTGCAGGGATCAGGGGATTCAACTCCAGGTATTTTCCAGAAGCGGCAGAAGGTCCTCCGGGCTCCTTCATGGTTTTTCTCCTCCAGGCTCACGCTGAGCATCAAAATTGGGAAGAAGAAAATTCAGTGCCTCCTTTCCAGACTTGATAATACAAGGATATCAAGCAAACCATTTATTTATCTACTAACCTAATTTTTCTTTAAATTAGACCTCAGAGTGCACAGAATTGAGATAATCAAAATAAGTGAATTCTAATACACTCAGTCTTCCAGGAATGATTGATTCCCTTTCTCTCTCTCTCCCTTCCTCCCTCCCTCCTTTATTCCCACGCTCTCTGTCTGGTCTGTCTTTGTTTCTTTATTATGATATAATAAGAACCTGGAAACCCAAAGCAAAAGTAGAATCTTAACAATAATCTACATTCTACCACGTGCCCACTGCCCACCCTCTGCCCATTCTTTTTCCTCCTTTCCCTGAGGTTATGACTATTCTGATCTCTCTGTTTATCATGACCCTCTTTCCTGATTTAGATAGTTTTATTGCATCGATATGCATTCCTAAAACTACACTTTTTATTTTAGTTTTTTGAACTTAAAATTATGTTGCAATTGATAGACTAAATGGTATAGCTGTTATGTGTACCAAGAGTAAACATTTTACCATGTGGCCAGAAGAGCAAAGGGGCAGGCAGGGATGGGAGAGAAATACTTGTTTGAATGATGTAAAGACAGAGATATGGGGAAGGGAAGAGAAGTGCCTAGGGACAGTCACCCTCAGGGTCATTCACACTTACTTATATTTGTACCGTGGGTGCCTCTCTTGCAGTCTTGAGCACGGGAAGGAAGGGAGGTGGGTGGTGGAGGGGCAGAAACGAGAATAAGGAGGAGGATGGTGGTAAAACGGTAAGGAAGGAGAGAGTGGGCTGGGCTTTGGCGAGAGGAGTTATAGAAGAAAGGGAAAGAGGAAAGGGTGACCTTCAGGCTAGTGGGTCAACGTGGCAGGTTTTTAATTCAGAGAGAATATTCCTTTACACCTGATATTTTAGAAGTGGGAGCAGATGGAAGGTCTTATTTCATCTACGTGCTCTGAAAATCAGGGAGAGACAGGAAGAAAAACAGTCCGCTCAATGGGGAGGATGTGACAAAGGGAAAGGACGTGTGACAGTCAGGTGAGTGTCAGCAGCCCCAAATTTGAAGTGAGGCCACCAGGCATTGGCTGTGGCTGGACTAGAGGGGGAAAACCTGTTTTCAAGGTGAACTCTGAGGCTGGACTTTGGTCGCGTGCTCTTCCCATTTCTAGGAGGCCAGGGCAGGTGTCAGAGCAATTTTGTCCTGTTCGCTATGGCACCACAGTCTGCTGGGTGCCATACTAAATAAAGTCAGCCTGGAATAGCCCCCAGATCTAGCACAGCCTCTGTCTGTTATATATCCAGTCATTATATGACCTCATTGCCTGCACTGCAGTTTTCCTACAGCACAAGGGAAGGAGAGGGGAGACCCAGAGCTCAGGGAGGGGGCATGGGGATAGAGGGCAGTCATCGGGACATTGCAGTAGTCTTGCATTGCTGTTTGGTCCAAAATTAATTGTGCCTAAAAGCATAATTCAAATAGGGCTGTGTTTCCTTCAGAGAGCTGGGGGAGAGCTTACGTAGGAGTGGAAGTAGCTGGTGGTAGACATAGGAAAGAAGGTGCTAAGACGGGGCTGGCCGGGAAGGGCTTGTGTCTGTCACCTTGTCATCTTCCTCTAGATAATTTTCACCTTATATGCCATCTACTAGAGAACAGGTAGTAGAAAGAATGGGTGAAAATGTGAGCTTTGAGTCAGATCTGTGTGATTCATAACAATAGATATTAGCTATTATTATTAGAAATAGCTTCTTACATTGCCCAGCATAAGCATTTGATGTGATGTTTGACTGTATAATGGGGAGTCAGAGGGTTTAGGGTCCAGGGATATGTGCTCCATAAACCCATGTACTTAAGGCACCACTTCATCTCCCACGGCTTTTCCGCACTTACACTTGCTATGTAAGCTCCTCAAGAACTACATCCGCATTTCCCCATCTTCAGCTGCATTCGTTCCTGTGCATCCAGGGAAATGGCATTTGGACAGATTACTGAGGGCCCTTAGGGGGCAGATCCCGAGGCCATTCTTTGCCTACATTACTGCACCTCGATGCTGCTCCTTCCTTCTTCAAGGTCTAGTCTGCCCAGCTCCTGTGGCTCCGGGCTCCTGTTCCCCATCTATCCATTTTCCCACTCATTTCCTCTCCTTCCTGGGGCCCTCATCTTTTCACTTTTGAAATCTCATTTTCCCCAAGGTTCTGCCCTCTCTTTCCCCTTTTCTTTCTATACAATTGCTGGGTGGTCCCAGCTGATTTCATGCCTGTGGCTCCCACGGCTCGTAGGATCAGCTCCTGCTCTGAGCCTCAGATCCCCTCAGCCACGTGTCTCTAAGGAAGGGTGGGGGCACCACCCTGAATGACCCTGCCCCCTGGGCCACAACTGAATGGCCCAGCAATGGGCACCCACGAAAGCCAGGCCAATCTCAGGTCTTCTGAGGACGACTTTCCTTTTCACCAAGACTCAGGAAGGGAGTGAGGCTTTCTGTGGGAGTGAAACCCACAGAGGGTCATCTCGGGAGATGTCGCTGGCCGTGTTTCCTTCCTCCTGGAGGAAGCCGTGTCCGAGGAGAGATACTAGGGCTCATGGAGGAGAAAGGAGGGAGAGGCCAGGGCACATTCCATCGCCTGGCCCCAGTGTTCCCAGGGCTGAACAACATCCTTGTCTTCCCCACGGACTGCCTTCTAATTATAGGTGATACCCTCGTATTCTTTCAAAATATGCCCCCTTTTGCCTAAATGTGTTGTAGGGAGGTTTCTGACACCTGCCACTGAGTGAGGTAGGTTCTAAGCACACAGAGGTCCACCTACGGAGTCAGGAGGATTGGATTTGCGTCCAACGCTGGCACTCACTGGCCAGAGTCATTGGGCAAGCCCCACACCCTGAGCCTCAGTTTCCCCATTTATGTAATGGGAGCAGTAAAATCTACATGCCTGGCATGTACGGCCCTAAGGGGATTAACTGATCATATATTCAAGTACCACTCATATCATAAAACACCTCAGAAGTGTGAAGTGTAAGAAGTGCATGATTTATTTGAAAACTTTTAGAAGCCATTTGTATTTTCAGTGTGACTCTCCATTTGGGGGCGTGAGCATCCCAGCAGCTCGGTTGCAGCTGGCTGTGGACCCAGGGCAGGAAGGTGGGTGCTGACTGCCTTGCCCCCACAGGTGGAGTGTTCATGCCCAGTGGGGTCGGGCCTGGCAGCATCTGCAGGGAAGGGTCAGAAGCCAGGGAGACGGCAAGTCCCATAGCTACCTGCTTTGGGATTGTATTCAGGTGTCCACGAGGCAGTAGCCAGTCTAAGGGGCCAGGAGCAAGACCCACGGGAAACAGTGGAAAGATGGAACACCTCAATCCGGGATGGGTCAGAAGGGACCTGAGGACCATCTGTTGCTCTTAGCATGCACACCTGCTGTTTCATTCTGGACTTGGGGTTGAGAAAGCAGAATTCTAGTCTCTACTTTACTTCTAACTTACTGGACAAGACAGGTCATTTTTCTTCTGAGTCTCAGTTTCCCCATTTCTTAAATTGGGAATGGAGTGGGACGAGAGGGGCAGCCACAGTCACACCTCATATCTGTAACACCTTCACAGTTCATGCACATTGTCACTTTTCCTCCTCATAAAATCAAAAGACACATATTACTAATCCCATTTCATAGATGGCTAGTAAAGGTCAGAGATGGCACTTGCCCTGAGGTCTCTTTCCATGCTAAGATCCTTCCAATAGTAAAGCCCTGTGGTTCTCCTACCACCGTTTAATAGAGTATTCTTGAACCCCTACTGTGTGCAGGGAGCAGGGGTACAAAGGGGCTTCAACATGGTGTAGAGTCATTTGTCTGCCTGTCCCACCTTTCCCACTAGCTTGTCATCTCCTTGAGAGCAACCCAGGCCAGCCTCTTCACTGCGTCCCTCAAACCAGAACTGTGCCTCATCCTCTGGATAAACAACAAACAAAGATACAATAACAAGCCACATGCAACAAGTATGTGTTGAGAATCCAGCCTGGAGTCAGAACTTGGCTTGGGCTGTGGAGAAGGCTTCTTGGGCTCTTCGGTTTACTGCGAGAACACTGTTTTTTTTCCCCCCTTCTTAGCTCCAGAGACACTTTCAGCCTTGTGAGGTGCAATCATCGATCAACATTTACTCTCCAGATACTGCCCGGTGCCAGACCCAACAGGATGCACTTTATCAACCTCTTAATTTAGTTTATGTTTCAGGCAGGAGTCATACAAGGAATCTATTAAATTCCTGCTACTGCTTCTTTTTGGAAAAACAACTTTCAATCACAAACGTAAGTGTATTTTAGACATCATTTTCTTGGAATCTTGGGGATGGAAGAATACTAAGAAATTCACTGGTCCAAGGAAAACGGTCATGATGAAAATGGGGACAATTTGTATAATAGGATCTCAATTTCAGAAAAATAATGTACATCCAGAATATATAGGGATATATTGTTACCAGAACATTAGCAGTAAGGTAATGGGATTGTGATGATTTTTTATTTCCTCAGTGTTGTAGATCTTGAAAAATTTCTATAGTGAATATGTTACATTTAAATGAGAAAACAACAATTAAAAAAAGAAGCTCAATAAAATCTCTTTCTTAGGCTGGGTTGGGGCCATACAGGAATGCATTGTATTATTATTCTTTATCGTTTGCTTATAAGGTTGTATACACTCTGCATAAAATATGTAGTTGTCCAATTTTTTTCAGTTGCAGAACCTCTTGTGTAAATAAAATTTACTCTAGAAGCTCTCTTAATAGAAGCAATAAGGAGGCTAGCCTAACATATGATCTATCTTAGAGAATGTTCCATGTGCACTTGAGAAGAACATATATTTTGCTGCTTTTAGGTGGAATGTTCTATATATATCTGTTAGGTCCATTTGCTAATGTATGGTTCAAGTCCAGCGTTTCCTTGTTGATTTTCTGTATGGATGATCAATCCATTGCTGAAAGTGGGGTATTGAAGTCCTTTGCTGTTATTGTTCTGTTGTCTATTTCTCCATGTATATCTCTTAGGATTTGCTTAATATATTTAGGGGCTCTGATGTTCAGTACATATATATTTACGATTGCTATTATCTCCTTGATGAAATCACCCTTCATCATTATATAATAACTTTTTTGTCCCTTGTTGCCATTTTTAGCATAAAGTCTATTTTATCTGATATAAATATAGCTACCTGCTTTCTTTTGGTTTCCATTTGCATAGGATATCTTTTTTCCATCCCTCTGCTTGGAGATTATGTGTGTCCTTGAAGCTGAAATGAATCTCATAGGCAGCATGGTGTCGGGTCTTATTATTTTTTTTTACCCATCCAGTCAGTCTGTGCTTTTTGGTTGGAGAATACAATTCATTTACATTTAGAGTAATTATTGATACATACGAGCTCCCTAATGCCATCTTATTAATTGCGTTCTGGCTGTTTAGCAGTTTCATTGTTCCTGTTAACCTCTCTTTCTGCCTCTCTTTGTGAATTGGTGATTTCCCATGGTGATAAGCTATAATTCACCTCTCTTTATCTTTCGTGAACCTACTATAGTTTTTTTTTTGCTTTGTGGTTACCATGAGGCTTTCATAAGGCATATTATAGATCACCGATTCTATCTTCTGTTTAGTCTATTCTGATGTTAATGCTCACAATTGCATTTTTCATTTCATTCATTGAATTCTTCAGCTCCAGGATGCCCGTTTGGTGCCTTTTTTATGATTTCTATCTCCCTGTTACATTTCTCATTCTGTTCATGTTTTCATTGTTTTCCTGATTTCAGTTGATTGTCTTTCTGTGTGTTCTCCTTTGAGTCCTCAAAACACCTATTTTGAATTGTCGATCAGGTAGATTCCAGAATCCTGTGTCTTTTGAGTTTGGTTATGGGAGGGTTATTGTGTTCGTTTGGTGAAGTCATGTGTCCTTGATTCTTTGTGTTCCTTGGAGTTTTGCGTCGTTGTTTGCACATTAGAAGTAGCAGTCACCTTCTCTGGTCTTTACCAGTTGGCTTCAGGTGGGAGGTACTTTTCACTGGCGCTAGTTCTATCTGGGACTTTCTCCAACCTTGTACGGATACATCTGCTTGCAACTTCCTGATCCCTCTTGTGGCAGGATCTTAAGCTTGCATGTCTTCTCTCCATCTTACAACCCACCAGGCTGGCTGTTGGAAACCTTTGTGATTCTCCGGAAAGAACACTGTAGGTCAAAGTTGTGTTTCCTTTCCTGTAGAGACTGGCCTGTTTTCTGAGCGCCCTCTGCTGGACGGAACTTGCTCTTGCTGCCGCCCTTGGGAGTATGCACAAGAAGCCAGCTGCAGAGTGGGGTGGGGGAGGCGTGGGCTTCACACTTGGGGCATTTGGGGCTGCCCAGGTCCAAGTGGGGGGATGCTTGGGTGAGTTAGGAACAACATTGGACCGGAAGTCAAAAACCCCAGAATTCCGGTCTCAGCTCTGAATGTTCACTTCCTATGTGACTTTGGGCAAACGACTTCTGAGTCTTAGTTTTGTCATCTATTGTTGCTATGAGAGTTAAATGAGTTGATGAATAGAAAGTTCTTTGCAAACTCCAATATGCTGTGTTATCTAGAAGGGGCAATTGAGGGAAGTGAGGGGACCAGTGGAAGTGAGTGAGGTGGTAGAGACAGCATCTGAGGGCACGTACAGAGAAGGGGGCTCAGGTGGTGGGCAGGGATGAGCAAGAGGCACTTGTTTTTAGGCTGGGCTTGGTGGGTGGGTCTCAGTTCAGTGGGCGTCACCATGCTTAAGGGCAGAACTTGGCTTTAATGGTTGAGAGCTCAATTTTGTTTTTCATTTCAGCAAGTATTTGCTCACCTAAGTCCCTGGTCTTGTGCTAGGGAAAAGGGGTCAGATTTATTCTCCCAACCACAGGAGTCGATTGTTGTTGTGATGGGAGTATCTTACCCCTTCTCCATCCCCCAAGAGACTGATTTATAAGCCAGGTTACTAATTTATTATTGATTGCAATGGGCAGTACTCCCTGCATGATAATTGGTTATTTTCACTTACCAGGTAGAAAGGCCTGTTCAGGAGACCAAAAGATCGGTGAGAACAATGCTTGATGAAAACAGAAGTAGTCACAGGGAATGGGGCTCTGTCCAAGGTCAGCTATGTCCAGCCGATCCAGTCTGCTGTAGTTGTTACATGTGTGTCATGTTGGTCTTAGTACTAGGCTCCTACTTCGTGCTGGAGAGACACTGACATGTTACTCCCCACTATTTTTTCTGGATTCTTTCCTGGCTGTTAACCATGCTTGTCCTGCCACTTCCAGCCTTGTGGCTTAGAGACAGACAGCACCTGGTGATGAGACACACGTGGGTTCTGGAATCCAGCGGCCAGCATTTGAATCCTGACCTTCTCGCTCATTAAAACTCACGCCGACACTTAACCTCCACTTCTTCCGTAACTGGAGCTGAGAGTATTCCCAGAGAAATTCCCACTAGTGCCCTTGGCCACAGACACACGTCGAGATGACTGTGAGGGCCGCCCCCACGGGGACTGTGACGGCCACTAGCCAGAAATGCGCATTAATAAGGAAAGAACTAAAGAGCTGATAAAATATGGGATCTGGAAATGAAGGGAAAGTCCACATCATTAGGAAGAATGAGCTTCCCGGAAGGATTTTAGAATTTGACGTTTAGCTGAAAAAGCAGCTGAATGTGATGCTGATCAATTCAAAATGTATGTAAAATAAATATTCAAGGGAGGGTGTTTCTATGGGTGAAAGCGATGGGAAGGGCTTCGAGGAGGAGAAGGTAAAAAGCAAAATAAAAGCCAAAGAGGGCTCACAGGTGGTGCCAGAAGTCCAAAGCTGAGGTGTGTGATCGACCTGGTTCTCTGCATTCCCCGTGTAAGGAAGTGAAGTGGGGTCAGTGTCATAGAGCAGATGTGAGGACTGCATGAGCTACTGTGTGGAAAACCCCCGGACAGGCCTCACACGTATGCTCAGTCAACATTACAGCTGCTTTATCTTTCCTAACGTTACGTATGCTTTGCTTAGCCACTTCCTGGCCATGTATCAGGAGGCAATTGAACCTCACAAATCAATGGTGAACAAATCAGGGCGCGGGACCGTGAGCTGTGGGCCTCATCTGTTGGGTATTGATTCCTTTCGACGTTACTTTTATGAAGTAGGAGTTCAAAGACCCAGACGTTACAGCGATGAGGCAAGAGTCCCTCCACTTTACAGATGAGGACACGGAGGGCTGAGATTGTTTATCTCAGCCATTGTAGTGACTATGACGTGACATCTCACTATAGGCTTGTTTTTGGAGGTAGACTTAAAATTCATAGTTAAATTTATATTAATATTAATATATTATCTATTAATACCTTACTTATGTTAGTACTATACCCGTGAAATCAAGATATCAAAGTGTTGAAAGTTAGTGATGACACTAAAGATCTACTAGCTACGAAAGAGAGATAGGAAGAGGGTGGGTCTGTCGGGATGTATGGCCAAATATTTTTTCTGAAGCTTATGATTTTCCAAACAGAGGTAATCTCTTAAATAACTATGTGTCCATTTCCTGTTCTTTTTCTTTAAACAGTGGTAAAATACGCAAAACATAAAGTGTGCTATTTTAACCATTTTGAAACATACAGTTCAGTGGCATTCAGTATGTTCCCATTTTCATGCAACCATCCCTGCCCTTCTCACTATGGTTTTCAACAGCCTTTCTCTGCTGACTAATGATGCTGCAGCCCTTTTCACATGCTCTGTATTCATACAGCTTCCTTAGGGAGGTGTCCATTCAAATCTGTGGCCTATTTCAAAAAATTGAGTTGCCTGCCTTTTTTCTTTTTATCAGTGACTTATGAGTTCTTCGTATATATTAGATGCCTCTACTGTCTGTGATGAGACACATGGATTGCATCTCTTCTTCCCTGGTCTGGCCTGCCTCTTCATTTTCTAAATGATGTCTCTTAATGAACAGAAAATTTTAATTTTAATGAGATGCCATCTGTAATTTATGGTGGTGCTTTTTGTGTCCTAAGAAAACAGCTGCCTACTTCAAGGTTGCAAAGAGGGGCTCTTGTTTCTAAAATCCTTTTCAGATGAGCTCTTCTGTTTAGGACTCTGATCATTTAAAAATTAATTAGTGAATTAATTATAATTAATTCGTAGGTATGCAATGAGTTTTTATCTTTCCCATGGGATTGTCACGGTGTCTTGATCAAAAATCAGCTGACCATGGGCAGGTGAGTCTTTTTCAGGAGTCTGCACACTTGTGTTGATCTGTTAGTCTAGTCCTGCCCCGAGGTTTAGGGGGACAACGGACACTAACTTGCAACCCTCCTAATCAATGACCACAGAAAGCCCAGAGCTACATTTATGGCCAAGTGTCACCATTTGCCTAAACTCCTCAGTTTTCCGGGACACCCACGCCCTCCCTCCCCATGCACACATGAGCTCACACTGAAACTACTGTGGAATCTGGGAACTGAAACAGCAGGCCAGATTTAGAAGGGATTATGCAATGTGGGGCAGTTCCTAAGAGTAACCGCATGTGCGGTTCCATGTGGATATTGAGTCCTTTGTGATTCCGAAATGGGAAGCTTGTGTTTTGTTGTCTTGCTGACTCGTGGACTGTGCGTGGGAGCATAAGGGGAATGTGTGGAAGTTCTTTATGCCTGACTGAGCATTCGTACGTGTTCTACGGGGTTGCCAGCTAGAAAAACAGGATCTGCAGGTCGAGTCTGCACACAGCCTGGAGATACTCAGAACCACTGTTATCCTCGGTTAGCACTGTTAACTGTTAACCAGTTATCCACTGAAACCCATCTCTGATGTTTCCCAGATTTCCAAAAGAAGACAAGTGCACTGGGGCCTTGCTGATGGCACCTTGAATTCAGAGTTGCTACTCAGAGAAAGGTTGGGGAGGGGAATGTCTGTCCATATATCTTCATGGGCCTCACTGGACCAATAAAGGTTGAGAGTAAACTGGTTAAAAGCACAGGTTTGGGAACAGAGAGGTGAGTCTGAATTCTGACTCTGCAACTTGCTGGCCTTTTGATCATAGAGAAATCACTTAACCTTGCTAAGACTCAGTGTCCTTGTCTGCAAAATGGGGATAATAATTATCCCTTTTTCATAGGGTTATTGTCAGAATGAAATGAGATAATAGGAACAGAGGAAATCTTTCAGTAAATATGGGTTATTATCATAATCATTAGTAAACATTTACGACACACATTTGTCTTCAAGAAGCCCGCAGTTGCAGCTGCCCCCTATCCCTCTGCCCTGCCACGTACTTGGTGGTCGAGGCGTGAAGTTGAGCAGAGGTTGGCTCAAGGGCTTCCTCTTTCACTGTGGGTTGTTGTGAACTTGGACATGTTATACAACATCCCTGAGTCTCAACTTCTCCATCAGAATGATGGCGATATAGCATTTCCACTGGAGAGTTTCTGCCGGGTCTCTCACACAGCACGCTCACAGCAAATGCTGGTTTTCTTTCTGTTCATAGGACACCTTCCCTCCCATTTTAGTGTGTGTGTGTGTGTGTGTGTGTGTGTGTGTGTGTGTGTGTGTTGGTGCGAGAGTATGGCATTTCTGGATCTCAGTGAGGGCTGAAAGGATGCATTTGTTTTTCAGACAACCTGGTAAGAGGCCCTGGCCAGGAGAGGGGCCCAAAGAGTGGGTGCTGGCAGCGCAGAGCCTTATGGGCTGGGCTGGGAGCCGTATGTGAAATCTTGGTGCTGGGGAGATGCTTGGGATTCTGTTCCTACATCTTAAGACTAAAGGAGCTGAAGAAGGAGAGACCAGAGATGGGGTCTCCATCAGAGATGATCATGGTTGTCCCACCTTCCCTGCCACCAGGGACAGTCTGCAGGCAGAGGACGCCGACCCTCACTGGTGAGCTGTGGGGTATTTGAGGGGCCTGGGGACTGGGTGGAAATCGTGGTGGCTCCAGGTGTGTGGCTCCACAGGTGTGTGAACGTGTGTGTGTTTAGATGTTTGCATGTGTGCCCATGTGTCTCTTTCTGAGAGTTCAGTGATGGGATAAATGACTCTTGCTGTTGCTCTTTCCTGAAGGCTGAGCTCACAGGAGGGAGGTGATCAGGGATCAGTGATCGGCACTGGATGTCACATCCCTGGAGGAGTTGAGGGTGTAGGCACCACATAGGTGTCGGATGTGACCCACGGGGTCAGTCTTACAGGGAATTAGCTGCCATGCTTCCTCAGTGAAGACTGAGGCCTTTACTGAAATCCACAAAAGCTGCCTCTCACACAGACCCATGACAGTGACACCCCACCCCACTTCATTCTTGGCACTGGACGCCCATCACCATCCAGGCCTCCTCAGTCCTTCTGGCAGTGCCCAGGGACATCTACGGAATGGCTAGCACAAAGCCTGGGCCATGTCCTGCTCCCACCTGCTGTCCTCAAAGCTGCCTGAATGAAACACCGCTGCTGGCATGCTTCCTAACATCCGTGGCTGTGCCAAAAGTGTTGTTTCCAAGTGAGCCCTAATCTGCTGGCCCCAACTGATGACCAGGGTGGCCATTCTCTGCCTTTCTTCTCCTCTTGGAATCACTTTGTCACTAGGCCCTGAAGCAGTGTTGCTTGGCCCTCCACGTGTCACAGAGGACTGGTGAGGGTCAGCTTGAGGGTCAGCTGCTGCCTGTAGCCGTCCTCTCCTCACGCCAGTCCCCAGCTCAGGGGCAGGGAGGAGAGCTTTGCGAGATACCCTGGCTGCCTCACCGCTGTCCCCTCCCCGCCTCTTCTGCTGTGTTTTCTCTATGTGCACGGATCCCTGGGGTCTGCCGGGCGTCTGCCTGCTCCCTGGTTCATCCAGCATGATCGGGTGCATCTGAATCCCAGCTCCGGACAGTCTGAGCTGGGACACCTGATATGTTCATAGGGAAGCATGGTCTGGTGACTAATGTCAGGATGACCTGACATTTCTGGAGGGCAACTAGTGTCTCAAACTAGTCCCATGGGGGTCACTATACCGTCTCACATGGTTTTTGGAACTTAATTATCAGCTGAATGCTGAGCCCTGCCTCTGGTTGCCAAGTAGGTAGACATTTATCCATCCATTCATCTATTCCCACGGTGCATGTTTGCTGAGCACCTGCGATGAGCCAGTCACTCTACGAAGTGCTGGGAATGTGAAGATGAATCAGACATGGTGCCTGTTCCAGAGGGGCTCCTGGTGGTGTTGGAGACATGGCTTCACTGTTCGGTCTCTGGCTGAGTTCAGGTCATAGGCAGCAGGAGGTAGAAGGGCAGGAAGAAAGAGAGGTGTCTCCCTGCCAGGCCGGGAGTGTCTGTGTTTCTCCTAGAGCTGTAGCTCCCGCGGGGGGGCTCCTGTCCCACAGCCCTGCCAAGCAGTCTCCCTGAAGGCCCCTGTTGGCCTCTGGGTATTAGCCACTCCTGCCTCCTGTAGGCATAGTGGTGGTAGGGGTTCCATGCCAGCCCTGGGTGTTCTCTGTCCCTTGTGGGTTCACCGTAACTCTCCTCTACCACTCGTTTCATTGAATTATCCTCAGTTATTCCATGTGAGTGTGCCCTCTGCCTGCTACCGGGATGCTGGCAGAGCCACCATTCCTCATTCATCTTCGTATCTGCAGGGCCTGGTGCCTGGCAGATACTCATTAAACGATGATCTAATCAATAATAATACAGTGTGATAAAGGCTGTGTCAGCAGTTTTTATAGGACTTGCTTTGTGAATGTCCAATGTCCAGTCCTGACTCCAGAAAAATCTGCTCTGGTAGTGCATTTGAAGAAGCAGTGATAAATAAAAAGGTTATTTACCTGTTTTTGAAAGTTGTAGGGCTTTTTTTAGAAATCGGGTGCCCTGTGATGTTAGTTATTATGAGGGCTGAAGCCACAATGTTTCTGTTGTTAGTAGCCGTCTTCTCCAGCTACTTTTCTTTCTGAACAGCTGTATTCCCCCAAATTCTGATATGATGGGAAAATAAACAAACAGAACATAGGAAGGAGACACATAGGAGGAGAACTTGGCTGCCTGGGGCCAGACCAGAGACTGCTGTCCCTGGGACCTCCAGACCCATAATGGTGGCACTGCCCACCCCAGCTTTCCAGGTCTTTGCTGTAGAGTCCTCTCTCCCATTCCTGGCTATGCTTAATGCTGTCAGTATTGCGTCCCTTAGTAGCTTGAAATAAAAGGAAGAGAAGGAAATGAAAAAATGAAAAAAATGAAAGCCATGAGGAAGTTATTCACAAGCAGGAAGGCAAGTGAGGTGGCAGCCATGGGGGTCACGGCAGAGGATGCAGGGAGGGGGAGCTGCTTGCCACGCGCCTTCTGCCCCCCGCGCAGGCCCTCCCAGCGCACCGCCGTCTCCCCACCCCAGGGCCCTGACTCGGCCTGGTCTGTGCTGGGATGGAGCATTTTTTTAAATGCCACAAATGGACTGATGTGAGCAGGTGGTTTCGGCCATAGCCACAAGAATCTTCTTGTTTCACATCCCCAGATACTTCATTCACCAAATGCAAAGTCCGTGACCGTTTTGAAGAAGAAAACACAGGTGATATTTGTTCTGGGGTCTGCCAAACGCTGGGCCGCTTCCCCTTTCTGGACAAGCACATGCTTGGCAGAGACTCCGGGCACCAAAAAGGCAGCAGTGAGAGGGTCCCCTGTTAAATATCAAATGCCCAGTGCAATTTAGGTCATGGCTTCCAAACTGTTTTTGGTTAACCATGACTCACAGTAAGAATTTCAGTTTACATTGCAACCCTGTGCACACAGAGAGGGAACAGAATTAAATCTCACTATTAACCATTACTACCTGAGACGCACTGTATCTTAACATATCCTATTCGTAAGAAAAACATCTGCTGGAGACCCACTCCGTCAATCTGAAGGCCCAGCAACAGGTCGCAGCCCTCAGTTGGGACCGCGCTGGACTTGCCGTTTTTGTGCTCTGTCCGAAGGTGCCAGGCTTCGGTGGTGATACACGTGCAGGCCTCCGAGCTGGTGAGGGGCGTGCCGGGGACTGCCCAGGGATTCGGGCTTTGAGCTTCACCCTGTCCCGCAGTTTCTAGTGGGGATCCGCACACTGGTTCCAGCCAGAGAAAGAGTGCCCTGACTTCCCTCCTTTCTCAAGGAGTCACTTTCTCTGGTGCAGAGACACGTAGCACTTAAACACAGCTTCCAGCCATGCTGAGATCCAGTTCTAATTTTGGTGTACTTTTGCAAAGGATTTCTCTCTGATTTAATTATGGAGAAAGTCATCTTCAGAAAGAGCAGGCAAGAAGGCCGTCCTGAGCAAAGGGGCTTTAGGCCAGGGCTTGCACATGCTCTTCCTTCTCCCTCACGTGGACTTGCGTGTCTGCATAGGAACCTTCAGGCGACTGTGGCCTTCCCTGCGTGCGAGCCGTGGCTGAAATCCCAGGCTGCAGGAAGGAAAAAGCCGCTCAGTGTTGCTGGCAGCGGAGGCCTGGCTTGGGATTTTCCAAGTGTCACCTGTCACTCAGCCTGTCACTGGGCAGAAGTGCCGCATCTGCTGTTGGGTTGCTCGCCTGCCCGCCGAGGCCTGTGGTGGCTTTGCTGGCCTGTGCGCTTCCTCTGGACATAGCGGGGTCGGGCAAGGGGTAGTCTCAGCGCCAGGCCCCGTGGGCGGACGGTGTGACCCTAGTGGGCCGTGTACTTCCCAGCCCCATGCGTGGACTTGGGCATGGGTGGGCTCAGGCCGCCAAGGCAAAGCGTGCAGACTGGGCGGCTTATAAACAACAGACATTTGTTCCTCATAGTTCTGGGGGCCGGAAGCCCGAGATCAGGGTGCAAGCACGTCGGGCCCTGCAGAGAGCCCTCTTTCTGGCACGACTTCTCATTGTGTCCTTACATGTGGGAAAGGAGTGAGCCAGCGCTCTGGCCTCTTACCATCCCCAGACCGAGGTACCTCCCAAAGGCCCACCCACAGCACTGGCAGAGGTTTTCCATGTGGAAATGTTGGGGGTGGGGGACCCAGCATTCAGTTCATCACAGGCTGTTACAAACAAAAGTATCACAGACTGGGTGGCTCAAACAATAGAATTTAATTTTCTCACAGTTCTGGGGGCTGGAAATCTGAGATCAAGGTGTCAGCAGGGTCGGCTCCTCCTGAGGCCTCGCTCATTGGCGTGTAGACGGCCGTCTTCTCCTCACATGGTCGTCCCTCCGTGCTCAGTCTCTGTCCTGATCTCTTCTTATAATCTCTTCAATTACGGCCCACCCTTAATGACCTCATTTTAACTGAATCGCCTCTTTAAGGACTCTGCCTTCAAATACAGTCACAGCCTGAAGTCCTGGGGGTTAGGACTTCAACGTGGCAGCTTTGGGGGACACAGTTCAGCCCCTAACAAAATGTCCACGCACCTGCACACTTCGTCCCTAAGCACCTTCTCTTTCTGTGATTCCTTTCCCCATTCCCTGTCTTCTCTGGGGAGACGCTGGGGCACAGTTAGGGTGACCACATATCCTCTTTTTTATGCCAATTGATGTGTTTTGATAATTAATCATCTCTCCCTTCACTTTCAATAACTTGACTTTTAGACAATAAATAACAGTGGAAAGACTGGGCATCCTGAGACCTAGATTCCACCCTGTTCTGTGGGTCATCCAGCCCTGTGACCTTGGGCAAAGGCACTCAGTTGTCCAGTTTGGTCCTCATATCTGTAAAATGGCAGAGTCAGCTTAAATGATCGTGTGGATGATCCCTTTTGCTTCTAAAAAAGCTCCTTGTTTTACATGTTTGTGAATGGCTACTTTGTGCTATAACAGGAAAGAAATAATTTTGGAATTTTTTGAATGGATTTCTTGGGATATAGAATTTCTTTATAAAGATGAAGTATTATGTAAAAAATGCTGTAGCATATAAACTGATTTTAGATGATTAGAAAAGCACA